AGATACTTGAGGGACCAGGGGTTTAGGAACTCTTGCAGTCTCCTGAACACTCAGGCTAGGTCTACACTACAGCGGGGTTCCGACCTAAGATACGCAACTTCAGCTACGTGAATACCGTAGCTGAAGTTGCGTATTTTAGGTCGGCTTACCTGGCGGTGAGGACGGGGGAAAGCCGACCGCTGCCGCCGACTCCGCTGCCGCCTCTTGTCGAGGTGGATTTCCGGAGTCGACGGCAGAGCGATCAGGGATCGATTTTACCGCGTCCTCACGAGACGCGGTAAGTCGATCCCCGATAAACCGATTGCTACCCGCCGGATCGGCGGGTAGTGAAGACGTAGCCTCAGAGTAGGAGCTGGGGCTGCCGTGAAGGAGCCAGACAGTGATATGCTGCCGGCACAGCACTTGTCGCTAACAGGCCTCCTTCAGATGCAGGGGCTGGCCCTTGCTGTCATGACTTCCTCTCCCGAAGAAGGTGGCTGCTCTTGGGGATTTTGGAAGGTCACTCTTCCCACTAATGGCTCATTGACCTGAAAGGCGAGGCTTCTTGGCCTTACGGTTTGTGAACTCCGCTTACTCTGCCTTGCGACGCCTCCCTCCAAGATCTTTGCACAAATCAGGTGCCAGGCTGACATTGGAGCCGTGGAACTTCGGCCAGTCAGGTTCGAATTAGGTCATCCATAGTGAGCGTCAGTTTTGGGAAGAGGCCGCTTAAGGCCAGCAATTACAAAAGTATTTGGAGTTTTGCATACTGCAGGGACTGGCAGGAGTGCCGCCAGCTTTTCTGCCGCCCTAGGCGGCGGAAGGTCCCGCCCTGAAATGCCGCCCCCCACAAAGGCGGCGGAAGGTCCCGTCACCGAAATACTGCCGCGGTTGCCGCCCCCCAAATTGTAGTGCCCTAGGCGACCGCCTAGGTCGCCTAATGGGTTGCGCCGGCCCTGGGGACGGTGTCTGTGACTCCCTTCCAAAAAAACCAAAGTTCCGCACACACAAGACCTGTTTTGAGGTGGCCTTGAGATGACATGATGGGACCAGAAAGTTTGACACCAAAATCCTATAAGAACAGCCGATGTCTCGGGCGGCGGCGGGGGGGATTCCCCAACAACCAGTCGCTCAACATTCTGCCATCAACAAAATTAAAAATAAACTGGAGAAACTTACGATTGATGCCCTCATTCTCGCAAACAAGACAACTTACCACAACAGTTCTAGTTTGGAACTGGGCTATAAGTCAAACTTTTGGAATCTTTCTCTTGATGGAGAAAAGCTACTTTGAAACCTATTGAGATAAAACCCACTTCAAATAGAACATTTTATAGCATCCATGGCAGGTCGGGCTTCCCATAAAAGCTGTAGACTCCAGACCCAGATGATATGCTATTGTTCATTGTGCACAGCCATGCTCTGGAATCTAGTTGGGAAACAAGACAGAACTATACTATAACAATATTACCTGTCAATAGATTAATTTCCTGCTTTAAATGAACCCATCCTGAGGCACGGATCATATACGGAAACGAGCTCTGGCTGAATTCGGGCTAGGAACTTGATCACATTCTTGTCCTAGCTTGGCGCACCACCGTGTAAAGTTACACTAGAGGTGGATGATGTTGCAGTTTTGGTTCCTCTCCTTTCGCAGGCTGGATTGGGCACGCCGTACGCAAGGATGTTACGTGACTAGTAAATGATTAATTAACGGACATAGGAGAAGGACAAGTGGTGATGTTTAGGAGAAGGCAGCAATTAATCAGCATCAGTGACTTCTGCAGAGATGATGGACTAGAACACGGACAGGAGAAATAGGATGGAGTGCGCACTGGCTCCTAGGGGCTACAAGGAGTCATGGATTGCTTCTCCTCAGCCTGCTAGGGTGAAGTATAGCATCAGCTGAACATCTGATAGAACCTCTCTTGGGCGACTTTATTCTACCCTTCTCTAGTATTTTCCTTCTCCATCTGCCCTGAAGAAGGCTGGTTAAGATCCTCTCCTCACTGTCCATACCTAATGGAAGGGAAGTGACAATGGTAAGGGTTGAGCAGGCTAGGAAACTGACTTCAGAGACCTAGGGAGAGATCGGAAGACCAGTACCAGGCAGATGGCTTCAGAACTTGTCCTGAGACCCGTTTTGTGAGCCGAGGATTCACCGTAAGCAATAGGGATGTAAATACCGTTTAAAAAGTTAACCATTTAAACGATTAAAAATATTTTGTTTAAATGGTTAACTGATTAAAGGGCCATCCGGGGCCGATCTGGCTAGGCGGCGCTGCTCCGGCCATGCAGTGTGGCTGGGCCAATCTGGCCATGTGGTGTGGCTGGGGCCGCTCCGGCTAACACGGGACCACTGGGGTCGGCCGGCCAGGGGTTAACGGTTAAGACGGGTTAACCGGTAAGACTAGTGCTTACTGGTTAACGTTTTACATCCCTAGTAAGCAGTTGGGTCAGCCCAACTGTCTATTGTCAAACAACGGGGGTCTGAGAGCAGGATGCAAGCTTGCACCCAAGCGACTCAGCTGGTGGGAGCCGTGGTCTCAGCCCCAGCGAGAGGAAAGACCAGCTCACCCGGCAAGCGTGTCTGGCTGATCCAAGGAGCAGTACTGTCAAGGCTGGCATCTTCCTCCAAAGGAGCAGGGTCAGTCTGTGGTGATGGGGGGAGGGCGGGAGAAATGTCAGGCTTGGGGGCGGGGTGGAGAAACACAAGGAAAAAGAGACACACAATGATTTCCCCAGTGAGCAATTGCAGCTGCGTGGGGACAGAAGGGGGAGCTCACTCCCTGCCCGGCTTTGCTCTTTCCCTGCTGACTGTGTCCAACCCCCCAAGTTTCAGGGAAGTGGATGGAAGTCTCTCTCCGCCAGCACATGGCCATACGCAGGGCTGCTTTACCAGGAGGCAGGAGAACAGACCCTGGGGGATCCAACCCCTCTCCTGCCAGTGAGTCACAACAGAAGTTGAGTCCAAAACTAGCTCCGCTCTGCAGCTGCCAACAAACAGTCCCACTTGTTGAGATTATCCTTCTCTCCTTCAAAAAGGCCGCACAGTCCAGCCAGCCTCGGAGAGGCGCCTGCAGTGACTTGCTGGTGTCCTGAGTTCTGGTAACGCCCTATCCCTTCCAATTTTGGTCCCAAATTTTATACCAGACATAAAGTACATTTTGGGACCAATGCTGCAGCTGAGACCAATAAGAGCTTTGTCCTGGACTTCAGTGGGAGCAAGGCTGGCCAGGTCCTTTAAGGGCGATGGAGAAGAGAGCTAATCTCTCTACCTGAGTACTTGGCTGGCCCTCTTCTCAGTAGTGTCGGAGCACCTCCCAGTCACTAATTCCTCACAACACCCCTGTCAGGCACAGAAGTGCTTTATCCCCCTGACAGATTAAGTGACTTGCCCAAAATCACACAGGAAGTTTGGTAAATGAGGAACCGAACCTTGGTTTCCTGAGTCACATGCCAGCACCCATCCCACTAGACCATCCTGCCTTCCAGGCTGCCAAGACTGTGCTATAGGGGTTTGCTTTCGAGCTGGGTCTGAGCCAGTGCCCCAGCTCAGACTCTCCATCTCTCCCATCATTGGGGGAGTGCCACTCCACTTGCCACACCCAGCCTCTAGCAAAGCAAACCTACCCCAGCCCACTCCGTGCCAACAGTATGATGTGAAACCGGAGCCTCTGCGTTGGCCTCAAGGAACTCACTGGTTTATGAGCTCCTAGGGCCAGGATTTCGGAGCCTAAAGAGGCAGCTGGGCTCCTAGTGGGAATTTCAGAACTCCCTGGGCACCTGGCTGCTCACGTAACACAGTTAGGCTGTCCGTGGTGAACGGCGAGGTCATGCTACGCAAAGCTCTCTGGTTCGGTTCTTGGGAGTCGCTGTTAACGTTTTGGCAGCAGCCGGTTCCGCCAAGTTTGTGGCAGCCTTTAACTATGAGTCCCTTGCAGACAATCTGCCGTGTCACCAACCCAGGCTGTTCTGTGTTACAATAGGGCAGGGGCTCCGTTGGCAAACGCTCGCGATATCGCTGCAGCTTGGACGCGGCTTTAAATGCCACAGTAATCCCTAGGGGCCATGTCCAAAGTCACGTGGAAAGTCTGGCAGGGCCATGCACATAACCCGGATTCCTGGTCCTGTGCCTTAACCACATGATCATCCGTCGTGTAAAGAAATGCGGTGATTCAGATGAAGGGCCTGACTGGATTCAGTGAATCGCAGTGTACAAACTGCAGTTTCTCAGGGCCTCGTTGCCATGGTGGTAAAGCACTTGTGGCTGGTCTAGGCTAGCGCCGCCTCTGTTGCTAGCAGCAGAGAAGCTGCAGCGATCCTCAAATGTCACCAGAACCTGAGTGCAAATATGACCATCGAGTGCTCCACTGTTCTGTGGGGATCCGTCTGGTCTAGAGTTTGGGGGCCTCTTTTAACCTGCGTTGACTGACGGCCAGTTAATGAACACGATTGTAAATAGTAGTCTAGTCCTGGTACACATTTGTCTTAGGATACAGCCTAGGGTTAACCATAAACACTCGTGTCCTGGCATAAATGTCTATGAGGTGGTTAGACTAGCATTGACAGTAGGGTTCACTGGCAATCAGTTGAAGCTAGACTGCAAGCTCTGCTCTTGGCTCTACACCAGCGGTTCTCAAACTGGGGGTCAAGACCTCAAAGTGGGTTGGCTTCGACTTGCCGGGACCAAAGCTAAAGCCCAAGCCCAAGGGCTTCATCTTTGGCCTCCCGGCCTGGGGAGATGGGGCTTTGGTTTGCGCCCCGCTCCGGGGGGCCAGGGATCCGTTGGATTCAGGCTTCGTTCCCCCCTCCTGGGGTCCTGTAGTAATTTTTGTTGTCAGAAGGGGGCGATGAAGTTGAGAACCGCTGCTCTACACAGATCCTGGGTTGAGGAAAGAGAAACAACTTTGTTCCCCAGCACACCCAAACGACAGGCAGCTTTGGACTTAAAAGGAATTTTTAATTTTGCACAAATTAGAAACAAAAATAAAATCTCAAAGCAACGTTGAGTGCAAAAAAGTTACAAAAACGGGAAGCCATTTACAGGGCCAGCGCTACAGACCAGTATACAAATACAGGCGCCAGCGACACTTATAAAAATGAGAATTAGATCACAGGACAAACAAGACCAAAAAACCGGGAGCGCACACAAATAAAAGCCATCTGGTGTATGCAGCACGCGAGCAGTTAGATTGCCAGGTCCTTGGTACAGGCAGATGTGCAAAACTGGGCATGTCCTGCTCAAAGACAATCTGTTAATATGTTGCTACTAAAATAATGGATTAAATACACTTGATTCTGGAAAAAGGTCACGCCCTATGTCCAGGAGGGCAGTTATTAAACATAAATTAAGGCATCTGTGTTCACCTGTTAACTGGCCAGACTGCATTCCCCACACTCTTCACTCCTCAGACCTCACATATGGTCTGTAAGTCCCCCACCCCAGCCCCTCAGCAGCCCCAGGCCACTGAAATCAGTGGGGCTATGCTGACTCGAACCAGCTGGGAATCTGTCCCATCAGTGTCTATATTTAGTCTACGTTGCCTATCCCAGGACACAGAGATATTTGCTTATCTCCATGCTGGCTTTCACTCAAGTAGCTGTTAGGGAGGGAGTGTGCGAGTGTGCATGTGTGTAACATGCCTGATCAGAGCAACGTAATCTCACTGGGAGGGAGGGTGAGTCTCTTCTCGCGAGCGTACAACAGACTTTCCATGTGGGTGGCGATCACACGGCACAACTCTAGGCCCTAAAGAGAGAAGGAAGCACAATGGAGCATTACAGCATTTTAACTCGGGTTCCCCCCCCCCAAGCATTAGCTCCCCCCCAGCAAGACTTAGAATGAATTGCACCCCTGTGCTGAAATTTGCTGTGGCCATTTTGTTGTGTGGCGTCCGGTCTCGCAGTGGCGAAAGCCGAATGCCAAACCCTCGGCATACACCTCCTGAGTGCCTGCGCCCGGGAAAGCAGGGGCCTCTGCTGCCTTTGGACTCACTGTTTTGTTGCATTGGAATGAAAGTGGTGCCTGCCTGCAGGGGCACGATGCTGTGTGAGCCAGTTGTACTCACAGGGCCCAATCCTGAGAGGTGCTGAGCGCCACCCACGCCTGCTGCTGTCGCTGGGAGCACTTCCCAGGCCTGAGCCCGTAATGGTTACCAGTACCCAGCTTCTCCGATTTTCTGCTCCTCCTCCTTGCTGGTCCTTCCCTCTAGTTACTGTTCCGCTGTGGCCTCCCATTGGCGCTTGATTGGACTCTCTGTGAAACGCCCTCACACCGCTGGCCTTGTACGTGGGGCAGCACTGGAGGTGCCCTTTGCCCAACCCACCCATCACAATAGGCAGCACTAGAGCATCCCCTGCTTCTCCCCCGTTCCCCATATCTGGCAGTGCCACTGAGCTACAAAACTATACGCAGTTGGTGTACCACGGCCCTGGTCCAAGAAGGGACGTTGCGCAGCTCCGAACACTGGTAGCGAGAGCGTCGGAAAGGTGTAATAACAAGCCCCAGTTCCCTTGCCTCCCAGACCTGGGCTTTAAACCACGAGGCCACCTTCCCCTCTGCATCCTGGAGAGAGGAATAGAAATTGCTCCTTGCAGGAGTCCACCAGCAATAAAAACCTGTAGATGATCTACCGGGGCCTCACGTTGCAGTTAAAAGGAGACTGCAATGGTGCATTAGACTTTGGACGCTGCTGGGCCAGCTGGCATCTGGCAGAGCCAGGATTTCATTGGGTTTTAGACTCTGAGGATACATCTAGATGGCAATCGGGGGCTCTGACTGCAGCGCGGGTAGACGTTCCTGGGATAGGTTTAATCTAGCCAGCTTGAGGAACACCAGCAGCGAAGCCGCAGCAGCCTGGGTGGCACAACCTCGTCCAAGGCCGTGGGTAGATACTTGAGCACGTAGCCCTTGCTGGAGTCTGTGTCGTCACAGCTTCACTGCTGTTGTTTCTCAAGCTGGCTTTGATCGAAGCTACCATGCAGGCTGCAGTCACACCTCTGACTGCAGCACAGATGCACCCCGAGTTTTTCTCACTTGGATTCCCTTGTATTTAAGCAGCTGCCTCCATGCGCTGGTTGTCCAAGCAAGTTAGGCAGGGAAAAAGCAAACCCTGTCATGAGGAACTCCTTGTAATGATGTGCTTGGTTTGTGTGCGGCATTACCAGGACTGCATGTGAAAAGTGGGTAACTGCACATGCAGAGCAGCCTGCTTAGCACAAACGCACACTCACTGCGTGTGCTGCTGCACACCTAACTTGTCTGAAGATGTGTCTCTTAGTTTGCCGATGCGGAGTATGTGGTGCGGGAGCACTTTTGTGCCGTGATCCCGGAAGAGACAGGCTGGGGACGGTGCTGGCTTTACTGTATTTCTGTACCCTCACCAAACACAACCCACAAGCATTCTCTCTGGGAGGCAGCGGCTACCTACCATCTGAAGGTTTAGCTTCAGAGATCCGGGTGAAGAAGCCAGGAGGAGACAGAAGGAAGAGAAGCGACAAGGAGAGAATTAAGGGGGCTGTAGAGAGGATGAGTCACGTGGAGCATCCTCGGGGGGGTATTGTCCTGAAGAGATACAGGCGCCCTGCCTGCGTTCCCCGCCCTGAGCCTCACCCTGGTGGGGTTCTGTGCTCCCCCAACCCGCTGGCCAGGGACACTGCTGTCTTTACTGTGTTGTAATACAGGGGCGCAGGGTGTCTCACGAGTGCAGTGCAGAGGGCCCATGTTGCCCTCTGGAACGCATCTCATTTGTGGGGAGGGGGCAAGCTAGCTCCACACCCTTCACTCCCTGCTCAGAGCCCACAGAAACCCTCCCTGGTGCTTTGTGTGGTGGGATGGGGTGGGATGGGCTCCTGGCATCCTGCCCCCTGCAGAGGGGAACCAGGAAGGCTGGGCTGCATCCCGCCAGCCCCATGGCTGGGGAGCGGGGCCTCGGATCCGTGCCATTCGACCCACAAATCCCCGGGGAGCCAACCATCAGGAGACACATTACAGTCTAAGAGCCTAAATGGCCATGTGAATTCAGGGGAGGCGATAACACTGGGAGACTTCGCCATGGCCCTCCCAGCCCCTAAGCACATCCTGGCATTACCCTGCGCCAGGCCTTGAATCTAGGCAGGGCCGAGGGGGTTAAAGAGGGGGAAAGGCAAGCTGCTTCACTGCACTCCGTACCTGCTCCAGCTGCAGCTGCGTCATCCTCTGTGACATCAAGTCTCCCAGCATGATCTCCACGTAGGGGTAGCTGGAGCCGGCCGTGGGCCGCTGGGTCCTCGTGGACTGAATCTCCTTCAGCGAGAACTTCACCATCAGCTCCTGGGGATGGACGCGCAGCTCCTTCATACGCGCGCCCCACCAGGGACCCGGCCCCAACGTATGGACTACAAGCTCCTTCCTACCAGTTCATCCCATCCTTCCCGGCTACTGTCGTTTATCATTCGCACTGCAATCCCGCCTAGGAGCCCGAGTCATGGACCAGGACTCCTCTGTGCTAGGCGCTGTACAAACCCAGAAACACAGGACAGCCCCTGCCCCAAAGAGCTTCCAATCTGAGCATAGGACAGGAAACAACGGATGGATACAGACAGAGGGACGGGGGAGCACATGGAAACAATGAGGCAATAGTAGCTATCCCTGCCTTGGGCCCCCTGAATAATTCACCTCCATTAGTCTTTGGGAAAATTGCCGTATATCATGAGGCAATAGCTTTGCACTGAAAGGCAGACTGAGAATGGGGTGGGCACTCTATGTACAGGACATCCTGCCTCTCTGGGGCACTGGGGTTAGCCCTCTAGCCCGGTCCAATGGCCAGGGTCACAGTGACAGCAGAATTAAGCTGTCACCTGAATCCACTGCACAACAGAGTGAAGGCTCCGGTGTCTAACACACGGGTCACTGCCGTATTATGAGGCGCACGGCTGAGCCGGGGGGGGACGGTGGGCCTCTCTGTGATGTACTAGAGCCCACGGCCCCACTCCCAACCCACATGATGCCAGTCCCGATGGGTTCCACTCTTGGATCCAGCCCTCCCAGGGCAGACGTCACCCGGCAGCCAACGGGCCTGACCGACATGCTTCTGTCCTTTCAGAGGGGGCAGCAGGCCTTGAGCCAACTTGCAGGGGCGGGGGCAGTTTGGCTCTTTCCAGGCCCAGTGAGCTCTGCTGGAGCCTCACCATGCTGGCCAGAGCCAGCCCCCACGTAGACCAGGCCTCGGCTGCAACTGCGCCCTGGACGTCAGGAGAAAGCCCCTCCTGGAGGGACCGGGTGAGGGGCTGGCCTGCTGCCCCCCACACCTACGTGGGTGTCCTTGTTGAGGAAGTGGAGGCCGTTCTGGTTGACGGCCAGGATGCACGGCGAGACGATGGCGTTGTTACTGCAGCTCTGGATGTAGAAGAAGGAAGAGCCGAACGTGGGGAAGGCGCTCAGGAGCCCTGCGGAGACGACGTGCAGTCAGCAAAGCCAGGAACCCAACCCTGGGGCTGAGCCACCATGATCGGCTGGGACATAGCCACAAGGGAAACAAGGGGGTCCCCTCTAGGACAGGTTGATCCTCCCCATTGGGGCAGGCGGTAGTACTGCCACTGCCCAGTAGGGGGGGCAGCATTCGGTGGAGATGATCAATCATTGCATCTGGCCACACCCCCTTCTAAACAGCCCCGCCCCCTCTGGGCTCCCGCGTGGCCCCAGGGGAGGGGAAGGTTATCCCCCACGAGGTTCTTCGTGAAGGTTTATGCCGGTAGAGGCCAGGGCCTAGCCATGGAGGGCGGGAGGGGGGTTAACTGGGCTGTTTGAGCCTGCTGGACAGGTTCTGCTGGAGATCTGGCTGACGGCTCAGGGCGTGGGGGGGGGGGGCACGGCCGGGGGACTCTAACTCGCCCCTCCCTTGACATGCCAGGTACCCAGCACAGCACACACTGTCTCTTCCAGAGCAAGAGCCTCTCCTGCTTCCTCACCACCCTCTGCCCCTGGCTTGGGAATCGGTCTGGGCAGCAACATTTTGCATCCCTGACGAACCAACAGAAGCCAGGACGCCCAAGGCAGCACCGAGGGCATGGCAAGTGCCGGGGGGGGCACTGCCGAGACCCACCCAGAGCTGTGGCTGCAAAGGCCCAGCCGTGGCATGGAGGGAGGGGGCTCGTCTGTTGCTGTGCCCCTCAACACCAGGGCAGCACTCAGCTGCTTCCGCGCCTGGCCCTGCCCCACCTTTGACCACGTTCCCCTCTGATCTAAAAACGCTCCCCCAATCCTCGGCTCGGCCGACTCCCAGCAGCAGCTCTCTCGCGAGCCCGCCCCGGTCCCGGCGGGGGGATGGCTTACCTAGGAACTGAGCTCTGGCCTGATGGGCGCTCAGGGCCTGGACCTGCGGCATACGCTGCAGCACCACATTGAGCCACGACTGAGCCTTCAGCGCTCGGCAGAACTGGGGCGGGACGTAACCCTGCACCTCGTGGCTGCGGTCGGGAGAGAGCCAGGGAAAGGTCACAGCCAGCCCCAGGCAAACGCCTCCCTGCCTACGTCGCGGGACAGAAAACCCACTGCGGGAGAGTACTGTCCACCCATCCCCCAGCTCGGGGTACGTGCTGAGCACCGGGGCAGCACAGAACCAGGGGGTGGGAAGAACAAAGACCCTTTCTTGGGTAATAGCAGCCAGAGCTCAGCCCTCAGGGGGGCTCCTTACTGGCAAGTCCCATGGTGTCTTGATGAGGTGGGGAGTCCCTCATCCCTGAATCATTCTCATGCAGTGACGGGGGGGAGGGGACACTCCCCACCCCACTCCTAATGCAGCACATTCACCATGGGTATTGTCCAGCCTCAGTCCCCCTCCCGCGCTGGGGCTCTACCTCCATTAAATAACAAAACCGCACAGCAGGAGTGTGCTTCTGAGCATAGGTCCCCATCCTGCAAAGACTCACGCACACGCCTAGCTTTATGAACCCAGTTAAATCACATGCAAAAGTCTTTGAGGGACTGGGGCCTCCTTCCTGAGCAGGCTGATGAGTGTTTCCCCCTGCAGGACTCCTGCCCTTCCCACTAGCTGTCTCTTGCAGCAGAGCAGATCTGCTCCTTAGTGGCGCTAATGAGACTCACCTGGTCTGGTTACCAGGGAGAATCAGCAGAACAGCTCTGCACCTCCATGCAGGGTCCTACAGCTTGACACCCAGAGACAAGCACATATATACAGAGTTCAGTCTGAATACATTGCAAACCTAGGCCCAGATCCTGCAAGCTGATCTGTGTAGATGGACCCTGGCACCTGTTGGGAATCTCACTGATGTCAGAGGGGCTCTGCAAAGGCATACCCACATGGATCAGATTGCAGGGGCAGGGTCACAGCAGCTACGCACTCAGTTTAATAAGACTGGTGGACTTTGGAGTTGAGCCACGAGGTCACTGCTACCAGGAAACCCAAGTTCACAAAGCAGCCCTAGGCCAACAGCCCCTCAGTCCTTGGCATTTGGTCTGGAACTGAAATTCCTACATGAGTTCATCTTTCTTCTCATTTAGGTCTTATGTAAGTGGTAGAAAGTCTCCCTCTCCTTTCCCCTCGGGGCAGCAATTCTGCACTCCTCTAAAAGCTTCACCTTCCAGGAGATTTTTTTGTAGTGACTCAAATTCCAGGAATTCCCCAGCCCCCAAAGTACATGTGGGATCTAATTCACCGCAACAGTTAGTGCTCTGATTTGAGACCGGAATTTTGAATCTTCTCCTTCCATGCAACCATTTCTCTGTGGGGGGATGTCCTGCGCAGTCAGCCCAGGTGATCGGCACCAGGGTCAGAGCACCCGGGTTTAGCGCCACCCTGGTGTGAGCAGCCCCACTGCAAAGTCCAACCCGAGTTCCTGTGTCCATGCTGGTGCTGTGCCCCCCTTCCCCGTGTCTCACCAGTTCTGCTGGGGGGATGCCCCATTGTTCTTGGTGCTGCAGTCAGCCGAGCCGCTCTAGAATTCTTTCCCAGTGAATTGTGGGAGAACTTGTCTGTCCTCCTGGGCATGGGGGGGAATTGTGGGAAGGCACTGGAGGACTATCCGCACTCTTTAGCCAGTGTCCTCACTGCCGAGTGGGTGCGTTAGCAGCCTGAGTGGAAGCGGAACCTGGACTCGAACCCAAAGCCTCAGCCAGGCCGGCTAGCCTGGGTTGAAAGCACCACTAGACTCGGCTGAGAGGTTGTGTGTGTGTGGATGGGAGGTGGGTTAGGGGCAACACCCAGATAAGACACTGGGCTGACTGCAGTGAAGACAGACTCTGGGGTGGCCTGTCAGGTCAGACCGATGCCGCTGACACCTCGTCTGTCTATAGCACGCGCCCTCCGAGGACCGGGAGGCACTCTGCAAACAATGGAGCCAAGCAGCTCTGGGAGGTGGCAGTACGTCTCACACACGTTTTAGAGCTAAGCGACATTAGGCAGAGAGAGGCTAAGCGACTCGCCCAAGGTCACACGACGAGTAAGCAGCAAAGTGTGGAACAGAACCCAGGAGTTCTGGCTGCTCTGCTCCAGCCACTAGCCAGGGCTCCCTACTCACTAAGGTGCGAACACACCATGATGGGACACAAGCCGTGATTAGCAGAGTAGCACCCAAGCGCCACCACGTCCAGGGTACCTACACGGTGGGCAGGCACATGCTGTCCTTGGCCCGGTGCTGGAGGGCTGCCAGTTTGGAGACCTGCTGGCACTGCTGTTCGCTGGGTTGCAGGGGAGGTAGGATGTTGAAAAGCCCCTTGAGATAATCGGGCAGGACCTGAAAGAAGATACAGAGCATGCCGGGTGTGGCTTTGTCACACTCGCTCATCAGGAGTCAATGGGAGCCGATCTGGGAGCTGTTGGGCTCCATGGGACGTGCCCAGGAAGGGCACGTCCTGGTGTGAATGCGTTCACACACATACAGGCAGTCAGATACCACGGAGAGGGCCACGGCATAACAACACACGATGCAGATTGTGGCAAAGCACGGAACTTCGCATGGACTTCAAAGAGAAGCGTGGGGGCTTGAGTACCTTCCTGAACAGAGATGCTTTCCTGAATCGCGGTCTTAGACTGTACAGGCACACCCACGCACCCACTCTTCGGGGGACACACTTTGAAGAGTCAGGGGGGGATGCCCAGGGCAGAGGGGGGCACCTGAGATCTGCGGAGGAACTAGGGGAATTCTGGGACTGGCTGGGCAAGGAGACTGGGATAGAGTGGGCCTGTTGGAGGGAAAGGGACATCAGGAGTCTAGCTTGAGGGAAATAGGCATAGAGGCTGCGCCCATCAGAGAACACTCCCCTCCAGAGGCTGGAATGGAACCCAAGATCCCTGAGTCTCACCATGCCTCCACTGTCAGCAAATATCCATGAAACTTTCTGGCTAAGAGTCCCAACCCCCTCTAGTGCTGGTCCACACAGATGACAACCTACTACTGCCGGACTCCAGTAACTCCATTAGCCCACATGGCAGAGGTCTGGGCGATGGATCTAAAGGTTCCAACCCTGCCGATGACCCACCCGGGTGGCAATATGATGGAATGGCTGTTTTATTTTCAGTTTGCTTGTCAATAAACCAAGTAAATCACACACACCAAATGACATTCAAAGAACATTGTTAAGGTTGCCAAGTCAAGCATACAAGTTAGAGAATGCCAGAATCAACAAATAAATACAAAGTACAGTTTAAATAATAAAATACTACTAATAATCCCTTAAAGAAAAAGAAAGTGCCAGAATGAAGGGGGTCTTTGCAGCCTTAATGTGGCCCCCTTGTGCGTGCACAGTATGATACAGGCGTTAATTACACGATCACCTCTTATCTTTTCCACAAGCCTCCTGCCTCATTCAATGCCCAGGATGGATCTGCCCTGGGGATGAGTCAGGGTTGTGTAATGAAGGAGGCTGTTGTCTGTTGAATCCTGATTTATTTGCTGCAGAAGTGGAAAGGTCTGTAGTGACCGAGGCAGGGGACTGCAGGAAGAGAAAGGACGAACTCACTGTTAAGGCGGTTGAAAGCTGCCTTGGAGAACTGGATTCTATCCCTGCCTCTGCCACAGAATTTCTTTGTGATTCTGGGCAAGTCCCTTAAACCAAACTTTTCAGAGGTGGTCACTGACTGTGTGCGCTTCATTTTCTGGGTGCCCAACTCAACACCCTGGGGTCTGATTTGCAGAGGTGCTGAGCGCTCACAACTGGAGCTGGGCTTTGAACACACAGGGCTAAGGACTCTGAAAAACCAGGGCTTAAGTGTCACAAATTGGGCACCCAAAATTAGTGGAAATTGTTTACCTTAATCTCTCTGTGCCTCAATTCCCCAGCTGTAAAATGGGGATAATACCATCCCCACGTCACAGGGATAAAGATAAATCCACTAATGTCTGCGAAGTGATCAGACACTACAGTGATGAGCGCCAGAGAAAAAACCCCATGAGGAAAGGAATAATTCTGTCTTCAGAGCTGGGGTTGGATAGCATGCAGCGACTAAGGCCTGGGGCCACACTCTGAACAACCCGGAGAAACCGAAATATTGAATAGCTGCTCAGTAAGTGAAAACCATCCATCCTGTGCACTGAATGAGGCCGTGTCCTGTGGAAAAAAATAGTACGTGATCAGGTTAGGAAAGACTGTACCATAACGCACGGGCACAAGCTGGCTGAATGACGATTGCACCCAGGCCGCATCAGTTCTGGCATTTCCTAACTTTGGGGGGCTTGGCTTTGCAACATGCCTAACATTCCCTTAACGTCGTTTTTCCAGACGGGGGGTGTTTAGGCAGACAGAAGCTAATTACCTGGCAGTGGAATCTGGCTGGGACACCAGGGCTAACCCCACTGCTCTGCCAGAAAGGGGCCAGGGGATCTTTAATAACCGCGAGAGGTCAGGAGCTTGGTTTTATGAAAGATTGCTCCTCAGACACCCCCGAGCCCATACTCCAGGGCCCTCCTTAAACTAAGGCAACAGCCCCTCTGCCCCTGGCTGGGTGTGAGCTGCTACCTGGTTATAGTGCATGGTGACATACAGCTCGTTGTCAAATTTCAGCGGCTGGGTCCAGATGACGCGCCGGTACCAGAACATGTAGCTGTTGTCCACTTGCTCCATCTCCGTGGCCACGTCAAGGATATACTCCCGTCTGCTCAAGGGGCGGACATTCTGACCTATGGGGAGCACAGGAGAAGAGTCAACTGTGTGGCTCTAGTTTTAAAGGCCGCCTGGCAAGGAAAGGCCAGCCGGGCTGCTCTGGTTTTGCTCCTTTCCAGTGCAGAAGGGTAAAGCTGGCTGGAGAACTGAATGGTGTATGCAGAGCAATGAAATCGGATTCATTGCTACTCTTTGATGCTTTGGTTTGGGTCCACACCTGCTTAACCCTTGGGAGAACAGCTCTGTTTGTTTAGGATTCAACCACCCAGCCCGTTCCGTTGAAAGCCGAGAACGCTGCCAGGCCCCATCTCTGAGGCTGTGTCTACATGACAGAGCCTATGCCGGCGTAGCCCCGTCAGCACCGCTTCGCTGGCGTTGTCTCTTTGTGAAGGCGCAGCGTACGCTGACAGAAGGAGATTGTCCTAACCCTGGCAGACACCACCTCCCCATACGTTAGCTATGGCGGCATAGCTGAGTCTACAGGGGGACATCGCTAGCCTGAGTGACATAGCTACGCTGGGGTACGTTTTACGTGTAGACCAAGCCTCAGTCACCCGTCAGAAACCGGGAAGACAAGACTGACTGTTCCTGATAGTTCTAAGATAAAAAGCAGGCAGAAAAAACCCCATAAAACACCTTTAAAATAAAAGTCCAGGCCTTCTTTACACGTCGTCCCAAAAGGACACAAGTTGAGTCCGCGTTTCCTTCTGCAGGTCGGCTCTAAACGCATCAGGATTTGGGGCACTTGGAATCATCCATGTAACTCTTGAGAGCATGTTATAATTCCAGAGTTCGGGACAGCCCTTACACAGACAGATGATTGTGGGTGTCATACGCCCCATTTTATAGATGGGGAAACTGAGGCAGAAGGAGGTGACTTGATTTGCCCCAGGTCACAGAACAAGTCGGAGGCAGGGCTAGGATTAGATCCCACGAGCCTGTGTCACTGGACTGTGCTGCCCCCTCTCACGGCACAGCCCCCCAGCCAGGGATCAGATGGACAGTGGAGAATCCACATTCAGAGCCCCGGGGCTCCGTTTCCAAGAAGAGGCTCCCAACTATCCCCATAAAAAGCAGCGGAGAGGGAGTGAGAGGGTTGGTGGGGCTAAGAAGGCGGGTGACATTCCTAGGGTGATGCAGTGATTTCCCAGAAAGCAGGATATGACTCAGAGATGCTATTTCCTGGTGGTTCTGGGCCCGTCCACACAGCCCTTCCAACGGTCCCTTTACAACCCTTCCCCCGCCCACACTTTAACTAGGCCACTGGCTAACCTAAGCCAAGCCAACAGGGCGGCCGGGAGCTGTGGAGAGGCACAGACAGGAAAGCGGGGGCTCGGCCCCAGGAAGTGCAGGGATACCGTCAACCATTTCCTGTCTTTTCAGCGTTTCAGAAGAAAGCTGAGGCCAATAATCCGCCTCCCTCTCCTGGCACTGCCCTGCAAGCTGCAAAAATACCAAGCAGGGCACCCCTCAAAGGCAGCACAAGCCCACAGCCAGCCCCTGGGGACAGGACACTCCACTGGGGCAGGGTGAGGTGGAACCTGCATGGCTGCTGTCTGCGCTGTGCCCGTCCTGTGCCTAGAAACGCCAGGGCTGCGACCCTGGCACCATTCACCCGCCCTGAGCGCCGCTGAGAAAGGACAGCGCTTTCCTCCTCCCGTCACTGCCTGTGGCTTTCCCATCCTCTCTGTGCCTCCAAGCCCGGCAGCTCAGCACCGATGCCGGCTGGAGGGGCCTGGCGCTGCCAGAGGATGCCCAGCAAGGGGTGTTCTAGGACCACGCTCGCAGCAGGCCTCGCTTGTGCCAGGGAGCATCACTGGGCGCTGGATCGACTGGCGATTGCCTCGTGCTCCCGCTGTCGGGCAGCCACTGGCAGTTAGGAATAAACGACACTGGCACAGAAATGGCTGTCTGGGGCCGTTTGCCCGTTCTTCAGGGAGGCGGCGGGCTCTCGGCGCCGTATTTCACCTCAGCAGGGAATCACACGGGGCTATGCCTCTGGACACACAAAGGGCTTAACGGAACAGCATCAAGATAAAAACCTCCCTCACAAGCAATGCCGTCAGTGCCTCCTGAGCAGTCTCCCAGGGTAGCCGCTTAACTTGGCAGTGAACAGCAGTGACAGCCGGTTCATTAGGCAAGAGACAGCATTGTTCAGCCAACGCCCAGGAGCTGAGTGGTGTTGAGCCAGGTGCGAAAGCCTCCTACGCTTGTCTTTCCATACAAGTTATAACAGGAGGCAATGCGGGCTAGTGGGCAGAGCGCTGCACTGGGAATCAGGAGGCCTGGGTGATATTCCCAGTTTACCTGCTGCAGGACAGTGGTCAAGTCACTTGTTTGCTCTGTGCCTCAGTTTCCCCTCCCACCCTCTGCCTGTTTACACTGTAACCTCTGTAGGGCAGGCCTATCTGTGCCTAGATGCTCACCCAGCGCCTAGCACAATGGCTCAACTGGGATTTCTAGGCAATAATACTCAACAGGGCGAGGCAGTGAATCTCTCTCGTGTTTTCATTCCGTACGGGGTTTCATTTCTCTTCTCTTCATGGGGCAGCGTCTTGATCCGAACAATGGCCTGTGCCATTACTCCCCGAAGGAGGGGGGACGCCAGGGCTCAGAGCCAGGAGGCTGCTGACCACGGCTAGTCTCTGGAGGCGGGCCACGGAAATCAGGTCAGCCAGGAAGTCCCCCCCCAATGCATTTGGGACCTGAGTGCCATCACCTGCTCTGATGCCGCCTGCGGGCCTGGGGAAGCCAGACGCCGGTCAGCTCAGGCCGCCTGTCGGTGGGCATGCAATATGGGAATGGCCAATGGCAGAGGCAGGCCGCTGGGCAGGACTCGGGGGGTGGGATGGGACCACTTCAGAGGAGAAAATGGGGAGGGCCACCCCCTGCCTGCCCCCAAGCCTCACCTCCGTTGGTAACGGCAAAGATGACGTATTCGTCAAAGACCTCGGGCCGATGCAGCCCCATTTCATAGCACATCTCCTCGATCACGTCCAGCGCAACCTAGAGAGGGGCAAACCACCCAGCTGAGTCCCTCAAAGGCCGGGAAGGAGGCTCTAGCGCTGGCATTGTGCCCCCACCACCGTGGTCTCTGCCCAGCACTGCTGGTGGGACTTCCTGGAGCGACACCCCTTCCTGGCTGTCTGGCAAAGCCCTGGATGGCCTGATCCCACAAGGTGCTGAGCACTCCGTCCCAGTGGACGCAGGAGCAGGCCATGAGGAGCAGCAACAGGGGAATCTGCGATGGGTTCAGAGACATGGCCAGAAGTTTGGGTGCTTTGCTGCTCCATCCTAGGGCCGGGCCGGCGACCCCATGGGATCTCTCCCCCCCTCAGGTGAGAGAGCAGCCGGCTCAGCCTCAGGTAACAAGAACCTGAACACGCCTTTGGTGGGCAGCCAGGTGCCAGCCGCCTCGGGTTAACTGGGGCTCCGAGAAAACGCTCCACTCTGGGCAAACCTTAAATATCAGCCCCACTCCCCTGCCTTTGTCCCCTCCCGCCCCCTGAGCCTATGGACCCCGCGAGCCCCGGCGCTGACTTTGGAGCCTGGGCCCAGCTGTAGGTGAAACCCATAGCCCTGACGTGTCCTATCCCCGCCCAAGTGCTGCTGAGCTGGAGGAACAGCTGGCCCGTGCGCCAGGGAGGGACGCTGCCTGGAAGCGTTGCCTTCCCCCTGGAGCCCCCCCAAGGGAAATCAGCGACTTTGGGGAGCTCTCCCTAATGCCGCTGTTGGGGAGGGGCTGAGCTCAGCTCCCGTTCGGTGCTCTCTCCGCTCCCGCACTCGTCTCCATCACTGCTCTGAGGGAGCAGCCCGAGGGGGAGCTGGGGGAGCTGGGCAGTGCCGGGCCCCTGTGCTGACGTACCGAGCACGTTTTGATCTTCAGGTGCCTCTCGATCCCTCCCGGCAGGAGAAACAGCTGGCGTTTCGCGCTCCGGCCGGCCTTGGTTGGGGGGTAAAGCACAGAGAAGCAGGAAGGTTTCCGAACCGTTAAGCCATCCATTGGCTCCAGAGGCCATGCTAAAGTCCCCAGGCTAGAATCTCCCACATTGGCGCAGGGAGATTTCCTGTGGGGGATCCCATTCTGCCTAGCAGAATCCCCATGCGCTGTCTGTCTGGCTCCAGCACCACTCGGTTAGACGCCAGGGGCATTTCAGGGAGGCGGGAAGCCGTCTTCACAAGAGGGCAATCAGGCCTATACCATCCCCATCCTTGCAAGTTCCTGTCCATTTCAGCCCTTGCCACCACGGAAAGGCCTCTGCTCTCCTCCCCCCAGCCCTACCGTAGGCATCACAGGGGTAACACGCCCTGGCTGCAGCCACCCACAGTTGTAGCCGCCTGCTCAGCCCCGTTCTAGCCCTCCCAGCTGGAAGCAAGGCACAGACAAACCGCGTAGGCCATAGCAGGGGAGCCCGGAAAGTGGAGCCCCCTGGAGGAACTCGGCCTTTGTAAGCCCAGGGAGCTCAAGGGGTACAGTCCCATGCCATCCCCTAGGCGAGCTGTTTGTGACCCAGTCTAGCCCCTCAGAGAGCCTTCTCCCCACGTGCCCACCTGGTGCACGCTGACACCATTGCAGGGCCCCTGCGTGAGCTCCGGACTCACCACCATGGCTTTGAGCTCCATGCTGCTGGGAAATTCACGCCGGCCACCAAACTGGAAGGTCTTCCTGAGGTTCTGCTCGCAGGCCTTCGCGATCCCTTAAACAGACGGACACCAGAGCCCCGTCAAAGCAGAGACGGGCACCAGGCACAGCGCAGGGTTCCAGGCCTCCACCTCCCCAAACCAGGCCAGACCCAGAGCGTGGCTTTGGCTCACTGCAAAGACAGTGGCTAACAACGAAATTCAGGTCTGGTTCAGAGGGGAAACAACCCCAAAATCGTGAGGTGTTGGGGGGGGGGATCGTAGCACCTATCTGCAATCGTTTATTTCTAGGGCTGCCGATTAATCACAGTTAAGTCACGCCATTACCTCAAAAAATTAACTGTGATTAATTGCAGTTTTTCTACATTTTCATATATATTGTATTCTGTGTTGTATTCTGTTGGTGCAAATACTTATAAGCAAAAATAAATACAGTGAGCACTGCACACTTTGTATTCTGTGTTGTAACTGAAATCAATATATTTGAAGATGTAGAAAGCATCCAAAAATATTTAAATAAATAGGTATTCTATTCATGTTCAACAGTGCGATTAATCACGTGATTAATTGTTTTAATCGCTTGACAGCCCTGTTTATTTCATTTCCTGTCCCCCCTTTTTCCCCCTTCCCCTCCCCTATTTGCCTGGCATGTTGCCTCAGGCACGGCAGAGGCCCTGGTGCTCTGACTACCATTGTACTGCAGTAGCATCTAGTGGCCCTGATTAGGGGTCAGGCTCCATTGTGCTGGGAGCTGTACACACACATATAATGACAAGACAGCCCCTGCCCTATGGGCCACGCAGCCAGCTAGTCCAGCAGCGCTGCCTGCACTGCTCCATAGAACAGGTTCGGATCAGGGTGTGAGCATCACCAGATCGGTCTCAGTCCTCGCCCTGGCACCAGTGGGCCCTGCCCTCCCAGCCGCTCCTGGATACAGAGCCTGTGGGAGAAGGTCCCATTAACGGCAGCTGAAGCGGGTCTGGCCGGGAGCCAGGCTAGGGCAATCTATCACTGCAGACAATTCTCCTCCCCGAGAGCCATTTCAACAGCTGTAAGCCTGGAGCGTTTAATGAGGAAATAAGTGGTGGCTGGGCTAGGGAATCACGGGCTGGCTGATAAAGGCTTCACAGATGGGCAGCACTGCCATTTATTAATGGCTCTAGGACAGGCCTGGGCAAGCCCGCCTGGCGCTGTTTCCAAACAGGGAGCTGCCAGGATTTCTGAGGTTGTGTGTAAATGCTGCTAATTCCCCATCCTCGCAGCCCCGTTCCTCTGGGCTGGACAAACGCCACGATCCCTAGACCCCACCGGTCACAGGGAACAGCCGTAACCTGCTCTTCAGCAAGGCTCCTCGGCCACACGCAGGCAATGGCCGGGGCTCACATCCGCATGTGGGATACTAATGGGGAACGGGGGGAGAGTGGGATTCCAAAGTGATGGGCCAGACCCGAGCCAGGGACAAGACTGGAACATGGAGCCTTTGCCGGCTAGGCTGCTACCAGCAGTGACTGAAAGCCGGTGCCGTCCGAGGGCTGCTTGGGGGGCCACCCCAGGAAAAACAGGTGAGTGGGGCTCAATTGTAGAAGACAAGTGTCCACAGCACCATGGCCCAGTGGTTCGGCGTTAGCCATCTCGCCCCGGGGCATGTCAGGTTTTGTCTGACCTAGAATGCAAAGTGCGGAGGGCAGGTGCAGCTTTTTGTCCGGCACTGACAGCACCGTGCAAACCAGCGTTAAGACTCGTTCCCGATGCAGCAATAGGACTGGGGCAGCACCTGCTGCACTGTTCGGGCCACCGGGATCCAAGTGATTGAATAAGAGAAGCCAGCCTGAGATTTCCCTGTCGCCAAGGGGGAAACTGAGGCACGGGGAGGGGACGTGACTTGCTCAAGGTCGACGGGGAGTTTGGTGTCAGAGCTGGGTCTGGAATTCCAGAGTTCCTAGCCCTCAGGTTTGGGCTTAGGCCATTGCCCCTTGTACGGTGCTGAGCCGGGAGTGTCCCTCTAATCCTCTCCCCCGCACCTCGTCTCTGCTCTTCAGAGGAAAGGGGCTCAGTGAACATTCCTGACGCGCCCTGTCCCTCCCTGTGATTCTATTGGCTCTGTCCTGCTTCCGCTTCTCTTTCCATTTTGCAGGCGCCTGGTTCCAATATGCATGAAGTGCCTGCCCTGCTCCTTTGAAGCATATTCGCTGCTATGGAAACCGATGTGGTGGTGACGGAGCCCATTTCCAGGCAGCGTCATCCTGGCTGGGACAGCAGCTGAGCTCGTGACGTCCCGCAGACAGAGGGGTTGGGCGCAGGGTTTACACCGAGCCTTGGCACACAAGAGGTGGCCTGATGGTTTCCAGGAGCAGGCCCGTGGTATCAAACACACACCTGGGCACAACCAGGGAGGGGGAGGGGCACAGCCCAGGGCGTGGGGGCAGGTGATCTAATGGAGCCCGGAAATCCCGGTGTGCCCATGGGCGAATTGCTCCGCTGGTCTGTACCTCACCTTCCCGGTCTGTAAAGGGGAGTGATGATAGCTCACCTTCAGCTTCAGCCTTCTCTCAGCTGAGCTGGAGGCTGCGGGATAGGGGCTCAGGGGCTGACGGCTGCAGGCAGGCCCACGGGCCAAGCACTGCCCTCGCTATCCACCACGGGCCCTGCGGGGCAGGGCCCACCCTGCTGACCCAGAGCGCTCCCCCCCGGGGGTCCTGCTCTGCTCCCCAGGGAGGGAGGTACCTTGATGTAGGTACCAATGACATAGGGAAGGATAGGAGAGAGGTTCTGGAGGTCAAATTTAGGCTGTTAGATAGGAGATTGAAGTCCAGGAGCTCCACGGTGGCATTCTCTGAAATGCCTCCAGTTCCACGCGCAGGGCCAGTTAGCCAGGCAGAACTGCAGGGTCTCAATGCGTGGATGAGATGATGGTGTACGGAGGAGGGGTTTAGATTTATTAGGAACTGGGGAAACTTTTGGGAAAGGGGGAGCCTATACAGGAAGGATGGGCTCCACCTAAACCAAAATGGAACCAGATTGCTGGTGCTTAAAATTAAAAAGGTCGTAGAGCAGTTTTTAAACTAAGGGCTGGGGAAAAGTCGACAGGTGCAGAGGAGCACGTGGTTTGGACATCCCTTAGGAGAAGATCTATAAATGTCCTAATAAGGAGGAGAGGATGGAAGATGATAAAATACAAGTAAGATCTGATGAGAACAGGCCCCCATGCCAGTCCGGTCGGGGTTCCCGGCTTTGCAGAACGAGCGTCCTACCTTGGAACTGCGCCCCAGGGCTCCTGCAGGTCTCCTGGAGGTGCCACAGCAGGTAGGGCTTCAGGACCTCAGAGCACTTGTAGTAGGCGGTCAGGATATAGAGCAGCCGCCATCCCTTCTGACAGCTGTCCCTGTCCAAGCCACGGGGCGGGGTGAGGGGTGGGGGGAAAGAGGTCTCAGAGCGGGAGAGGCCTAGGCTGCTCAGTGCAGCTTCGGCCCCAGAAAGTCTTTGGGACAGGCCTGGAACCTGTGCCCCTTACCCCCTTCCATGCCAGGCCTCCGGGCAGGCGGGTGGGACCCTGCCCAATCAGCTCTGGTATGTGGCGAGAGAGGGAGAAGGCGAGGAAGAGGAATTGGAGGAGTAAAAAGAAGACGCAAAGGAGGAGGAGAGAGCCGAGGGGAAGGGGAGAGAGCAGGGGCCCGGAGTGGTGCTGTAACATGGAGGGGGGTGGCAGGGCGGGACCTCCAGTGGCCAAGGAAGGCTCTCCCAGCTGCGGGGGTGGCTAGGATGATAGGAGCCATATTGACCCATCCAGGCCCATTGTGCCGCAGTGACACTATCAGCCAGTCCCAACCAGACTGGGGGCGCAGGAGGCTCCCTGGGATTCTCCCCCCAGACCCTCCACTGGGGAGGCCACACAGCCCAGGCCAGCTGGCCAGGGAGGGGAGAACAGGGTGGGGCTGCCGCGCTAGAAGGCCCGCCCGGGGCCCCACACCACGGGAAGGGGAGGGACTTGCTCACATCTTGGGGCTGGTGTTGTCCGTGGTCTGCTTGACGATCTGGCAATACACTTCATCCCTCATGACCTCCTGGTCAGCGCACAGCTGGAGACAGAAAGGCACCGGCGGGCGTCACTGCCCTGGTGCTGGAGAGCCCCCTGCCCCTCCACCTGTACCTGCTCCCCCACCGTGCTGGCTGCCATCCCTGCCCCCCCACTGCTGTGTCGGAGGGGTGCAGTTTGCAGCCTGCTCCTGGGGCCTCTCCCGGGCCACGTGGCTTGTTCCCTCGCTGGCCAATATGCAGCCATCTGCCCCCACCTTCAGCCTCCTCCCCGCTTAGCTACAGACTGCGGGGTAGGGGTTCGAACTGGGAGCTACAGGCAGGCCCACATGCTGAGCGCTGCCCTCGCTACCCACCACCGGCCTTGGGGCTGCAGGGCAAGGCCCACCCCACTGACCCGGAGCCCCCCCCGGGGGTCCTGCTCTGCTCCCCAGGGAGGGAGGTACCTTGAGCACAGCACAGACGACGTCCAGCTCCGTCTGCCCCTTGAGAGGCCAGTCGCCCATGAACTTCATCACGGCTGGGGATGACAAACCAACGCTCGGTGATAGGCTCCACCTCCCCTCGCCCCGAGCAAGGGGGCGGCTCTCCTGGCTCCGGACCCGCTGGGTGGGTCCTGTGACCCGGAGGAGAGCAGGTCACAGTGCCCCAGATCGGGGGAGGGGCTGAGGAGTTCACAGCACCCCCAAACCGGCGGGGGAGGAGGATGGCCAAATGAAACCCAGAGCCACCAAACCTCCTGGCTCCCTTCCAGCGGGCACTCCCTCCCCGGCCCCAGCGGGCTCTCCCACCCCGGCCCCAGTCCCAGGGGCCTCCTGGAGCGCTGGCTCCCGGACTCCTGGTTTTTCACTGACTCACTGGTTATCAGCCTGTCAGAAACTGCCAGATGTGGGCCCATGGGCCGGCCTCAGCCCACTCCTGAGGAGGGGCAGCAGAGATTCCAGTGCCCCACCCTGGGGTGAGGTCTTTGAGCTTCACTGTCCCTGCCCCACGCGGGGCAGAGGATGGCAGCGGTCAGGCCGTGGCGCCCTGCGCGGGGCGGAGGGGGGCAGTGGGCAGGCCGCGGGGCGGAGGGGGGTGAAGGGCAGGCCGTGGCACCCCGCGGAGGGCAGGCTGCGGAGCGGGGCGGAGGGCAGGCCACGGGGGGCACAGGGGGGCGGAGGGCAGGCCACGGCGCCCCACGTGGGGGGCAGGAGACGGCAGGCTCACGGGGGTTGAGTTTTCAACTGGAGTCTCACTAACACACCCAAGGTTTTAGGGCGTCCCACAAAGCAGGCAATGGCACGAGAAGGCCGCCCCCTGCTGGGCATGTTGGTCTCAGACGCCCCTGAGCGTGGGGCGCCACGGCCTGCCCTCCACCCCCCTCCGCCCCGCAGCCTGCCCAGTGCCTGCTCCTCCGAGCGCCTCCCACGCACCTTGGAAGGCCTCGGCTGCGGCTCTGTTCAGGCAGCTGTCGGGGAATTCGATCAGCGACTCCTGGAGCGGGCACTGGCCGGGGAGAGCAGAAGCAGAGCTTGCATCAGTTACCAGCAGGGATCGCTGGTGGGCTTAGCGGCTGAGCTTGCCAAGCCCTACGCTCAGTGAGCCCGCGGGCACCGAGCCCCTGCCATCGGTTTAGCAGAGCCACGGCCTCCAGCCCGTCACTGCAACTGGAGATCAACCAACCGGCTGATGGCACCTATCCGCACATAGCAATACCCCGTTCCTCTCTGCCCAGCCGCCCGCAGGGCAGCACCCAATGACTGGCCTCCCAGGCGGAAAGAAGGGTGGGAAGGAAGGGGGGACACACAGAGCCCCTGGCAGGGAGGAGATGGGGGGGTGACCCTAGGATGGAGGGGGAAGGGAAAATGGGGGGACAGGAAGAATGAGGGTGCACAGAGCCCCTGGCGTGGGGGGGAGGGGCGGGAGGAGGGTGCACAGTTCCACGTCAGGTGGGGGCCCCAGCAGAAGGACACGGAGCGAAGAGCCTAGCCCAAGAGAGGCACAGGGCGCTATGGTATGTCCCTTGGGGACTGCTCACCAGGCAGTCCCCTGGTCTCAGGCCAGCCCATGAGCTGAGTTTACTGGTGTCTGAATGAGGAATGCAAACGGTGCATTACTACAGATACCCTGCAGGGACCAGCACCTCAGGCAGAGCCATTAACACAGCCAGGAAACCGCCTGAGATCTGGTTTGCATCCACAGCCGGCAGGTGTCCTCTGGAACTGATGAGTGTCTATCCCACACTACACAGGCTTCCCCAGCAAACCCACACTGCACCTGCCTGCGGAAATGGCTCCTGACCCTATCAGACACCTCCGGAGACCAAGTTCCTCCATTGAGCCACAGATCAGGTTCAGCCTGACCTTCCGGCATGCTGAGCCAGCCCCGCCCGCAGGGATCATCTACCATCCGTGGCCTGCTCAGCCCCTGGCCTGTCCCAGCTCAGCTGATCGCAAATGACTGCAATGAACTCGCATCTCCTAGCAGCTGAATGGAGCCCATACGTTCATTTCACAGAGGTCATCAAACAGCTTTCCGTTCCCACCGGTGGATTCGAACCAACAGCCCAGAGGGGAGAGACTCTCTAGCACTTTAGCAGGGCCCGGAGCCAACCCGGCCCCCCTCTCTGGGTCGGCTCCACGTGGAGGGCGGTAAGAGGGCCAGCAGGCCCCGTGCCCGTTCCAGTAGGGGCTGCCCTAACGCAAAGGCAGGGGCAATAGCCTGAAATCGGCAGGTGGTGAGGCTAGGGGGCTGCTCTCCTCTGCTCTCCAGCTAGGCGATCCCCATTACCTTGGTGAATTTCAGCATCTCCGCCACGTCCGGCGAGTCCTTCCCTTTCCGGGATTTCTGCTTGCAGGAATCCCTGGAACACATCGCAGAAAGAGACTGACAGGTCCCTCTCTGGGCACGAGCTGCTGGGGGCTGGGACGGGGGATCCCCCGGGGGGTCAGCACATCCGCCTCCCCCATGGATAGGAGCTGTGGGCCCAAGAACAGCCTCCCTTTTGCTGCTGCAATTGCAAAATCCGTGCCTGAAGTTCTGGCACCCGCCACAAACCGCGGGCTCCCATAGGTGGGTCTGATCAGCAGAACTACCCCAGCGGACACGCAAGCGCTAGCATCGATGGCTGCAGCTCCCACACAGGCCAATGACGATGCAAGTGCAGACAGGAGGCTGCGCTGGGAACAGTGCCAGGTGTGCAGTAGAACGAGGGCCAGGCATGCAGCTGGACTGACTGGAAAGCCCATCGGTGCAGTTCCATAATCAGCCAGAGAGGTCGCTCTTCCTTCTCTGTATGCTGCCTCCGCGGGCAGCCCTCGGGCTGGGCACTGAGCCTAGCTCCGCAGCGGGGCAGTCAGCCCCAGGATGCCAACCCGGGGGCAGTTAGCGCCACGTAGGATGGTGCTTTCTGTGACGTGGCTACTGTCCCACTGGGAACTGGGCAAACTCATTGTACACAGGGTCACTGGAGGCTGGAAGGTTAAAGGTCACTCCCCTCCCCTCGGCCAGCACTCACGTCTTCGTCCTCTGCGCCTCCCGGAAATACTTCTTGGCAAACTCCTGCATGGGGAACTGCCCGCCCTGCAGGGCACTGTCCCCAGGAAGCTCGCCGCCATACTCCTCCGCGCTCTCCGCATAGTCGCTGCCCACGGGGGACACCTGGGGAGAGGGGGACCATGGGCTGCAGAGGGTGCAACACGCACCCGTGCCGCCAGCGTACGACTCCATGGGTCCTAGAGCCATTAACCCTCAGAGAAGCTACAGACAGACACTGCGGCTGCATCCTCCTGGCGCCCACTGATCAGTGCCCACCCTGTGCCAGCTGCAATGCCTCCCTCCCCAGTTAGCCTCCTACCCAGCTGCTTAACCAGCCCCTAGGATCAGGCCCTCCCTGCCACCCACCCCGACCAACCCCCCGCCCACCCCAGCCCTCTGAGAGCTCCCAGTTTCCAGCACTGCAAGGGTTACTTGGGGACAGTCCCTCACCTCGATCTTCCTGTCCAGCTCCTGAGCCACGGCCGTGGAGGCCACGGCCACTGCCACAGCCGCCGAGGCCGCCACCTTGCCCTGCTTGTTCTTGGGCTCCTCTTTCCTGTCCGCTAGCAGGTGGATAAAATCTGGGGCTGCCACAGGCTGGACGTACTCGGCGGGGAAGCGCCCCGACCTCCCGTGGATGGCACCGAATTTCCACCCTGAACCGGGACATGTCGTTAACAGCCTAGTGCTCAGATACACACTCCAGCCAGGCTTATACACCCCTCCCTGCCGCGCTGGGCCCGGTTATCGGTCCATCCAGCCCCATACGCTCCTGCCTGCTGTGCCACGCCCGGTTATCGGTCCATCCAGCCCCGTACGCTCCTGCCTGCTGCGCCACACCTGGTTATCTGTCCATCCAGCCCCGTACGCTCCTGCCTGCCATGCTGGGCCCGGTTATCGGTCCATCCAGCCCCGTAGGCTCCTGCCTGCTGCGCCACACCCGTTTATTGGTCCATCCAGCCCCGTATGCTCCTGCCTGCTGTGCCACGCCCGTTTATCGGTCCATCCAGCCCCGTATGCTCCTGCCTGCCACGCCGGGCCCGGTTATCGGTCCATCCAGCCCCTCCCTACCGCACCACGCCCGGTTATCAGTCCATCCAGACCCGTATGCTCCTGCCTGCCACACCAGGCCCGGTTATCGGTCCATCCAGCCCCGTTTCCTGCCTCCCTCCTCTACCATTTTAGACCTGTCCATTCAAACCAGCACCCCACACCCTGCTGCCCTAGAGCAGACATGTCGTCTCTCAAATCCAGCATCTGCCTGCAACAGTGGCCAATGCCTGGGGCTTGCTAGGGAGGTGCAAACTCCCCATAAAGACACATCACATAGCCAGAGCTGTGATTGCATTCAGGGAGGGAAGGAAGGTTCCTTCCTGACCTCTGCAGAGACCTGTCCTGAAGCACAAGATTTGATTGTCCGTATCTCAGCAGGCAGAATCACCATAAACACAGCCACCCCCCTTTGAAAATCCAGCCACAGCGTTTGACGGAATGGCTGGTATTGAGACCCATATAGGCTTGCTTTTGCACCGCACTCTTAAACAAGGGGTCTGGGGACCAGGCACACTGCATATACCATCCTGTACTGCATGCAGCAACCTGCTGTTCGCCTGGGGTTAGCTAGCGTTTCCCCCCAGAGACTGAACGGGCTAGGGACCAGGATTACATGCACAAACCAGATACAGGAGCGGGCCATGCATGGAGGAGGCCAGTAGGGGAAGCAATGTGGTTATAGTTATGGGCGGTTATCGAGAGCATGGCCAATGGGGCTGTTAGGACTCCAGCCAGTTCTACAATGGCTTCTCCGCACACAGGGTCTGGAGGCCATTGGACAAATAACCCCCATGCCCTGCACTCAGCCTGCTCCCTAGAGTGCCAACTGCTGGAGCTGCGTGCCCCATACAAAACCGCCCCTGGGATGGCATAAAGACATCCTCTCCAGATGCACTCGCGCCGATTCCTGTCCATTCCCCATGAGCATCCGGGCGAGCGCGCTCTGCTCAGGCTAATGCCCACGGGGAGCTGGTGCTAATGGGTTTCTCGGGGCCTGGAATGTGCTCGTCTCTCCTGGGGAGCTCTGTTTCTCTTTGGTGGACACACCAGGGGGCCAGCTTCCCCAATCTCTTGCCAGAGCCAGGGCACAGAGACCACTAGAGGAGCAGCTGGAAATATGACAGCATCCTGTGCCCTCAGGCCTGTGCATGGGAGATGGATCATCAGTGCCACAAGCACAGGCTTCTACAGCTCAGGCTAAAGCAGGAACTCCATTTGCTGGTAGCGATAGTAGGCGCTTGTCCTGTATATGGACTGGCCCCTAGAGGGCGACACAACACACTACGTCAGTGTGTTACAGTGACAGAAAGGTGCAGGCCAGGAAGCGCCCTGAGGATATTTTACACGCCCTGACCTGGTGCTTTGATCCAGCCCCGGGCAGTGGAATGAGGTCTGGCCATGTGGGCCGCAGTGGGGTCCTTGGGATTCATCGCCTGGGGTGGGCTGAAGAGCACATGCTTCGTCAGAGTGGAGGGGCGAGCTGGCTCCAGAGGAGAGAGCCCCGCAGGAGAATGGGCGCAGGGGGACAGGGCTCACGCAGGGATAGCACAACACGACACTCCAGAGCCACCCACCAAAGTCCTGGGTGCCCCTCTTCAGCTCCTCCAGGTACGTCACCTTCTTGCGGACCACACATCCGTGCCAGTGGTCTGTGGGGAGGGGACAGCCTCAGGGCACCGCAGCAGGGCTAAGTGCACCCAACCAACCAGCTCCATCCCCCCACGCTGCCCAACAGCGACCAGGGCTGGGGAAGGATCCGGGCAGCACTCTGCTCTCTGGGGAGGTGGCTGGCAGCGTTCCCTTTGTGTGCCCCAGTGGAGGGGCTGCGGAGTGGCACCGCACGGGGAGCAGATGTCATTCACAGACTGATGTATGCTATAGGGGGTAGGTGGCCCAGGAGGTTATAAGCCCAGAAGGACAGGGCTGGGTGGTCCCATTCAGCTCATCGCGCCCATGCAGAGGAAAAGGGCCCCCACTAAGACGCCCCTGTCCTCTCCTTTGCAAACCGCCCCGTGACGCCCCAGAGGTGGCTCCCAGCAGAGAGTGCAGCAGCGCCAAGAGCGTCCCGGGCTGCTCACCTCTTTCAGGCTGCTCCAGCGGCTGCAGGTGGATGATGTCCCCCTTGTGGAAGCTCAACAGGCTCCTGTCGTCTGTAACATAGCTCTTCACGGCAACCACGTACTGCGAGTCCTGGCACGTGGGAGAGGGGCTGGGTTTGGTGCTGCTGCGGGGGACTGCGCACGTGTGCACACACACACACACACACACACACACACACACACACACACAATACACTCATACATCCAACACCCCGCTCACTTTCAGAATACAATCACACAAAGACACACCCTGCGCTCAGAGTATAACTGCACAATCAAACACACACACAGCCTGCTCAGAGTACAACCCCCCCCTCCCCGCCACACACACACACATTACCCCCAGCCCCAGCTGAACACACTTATATACAACTGTGGCCAGGTGACTGGTTCTGGCGCTCTGTATGGAGGTGTAGAGCTCTCCGGCTGATTCAGTCCGGGAGCCAGACCAGGGGGCTCTCATTGGCACCAAGACAGGAGTATAAAAGCTTGAGCTTTTCTAAGGCAAAGGTGAGCAGGGTGAGGGACAGGGCAGTATCCCATAGCGTGTGTCTGCTGGAGCCCCCGCCCCATGGACTGGGTGCGGGAGAGGCCAAGAGAGGCCATTCTGGCTCCATTCCCATGGTCGGCCTCTCACCTTCTTGAGCTCCGTGATGAAATAGTCGATCATGGCCTTCACCTGGGGGGCTTTGGGGGAGAAGAGGATGAGCTTCTCATTGGTCAGGTTGAACTCCAGCATCTGCTTGGAGGGGATGGTCACGAACAGGATATCGGTGTAGCTGGGTGGGGGGAAGGACGGGGTTAAAAACCAGGCTAGGAGAGCACAGCTGAGAAAGCCAGAGGGCTGGGCAGAGCAGCGAGGGGGAGATTAGTCTTACTGCCAGACCAAGGGCAGAACTAAGACACCACATATGCCTCCCATGCACCATGTTCTCCAGCCACTGGACCCTGGCTGTTTGCCATGGACTTGGATGGAGCTGAGGGGACTAGGAGTCAGGAGTCCTGGCTTGTAGGGCAGAGCTGGGGGGCCCGTCCTTTACTCCATCACTGGGAGTGAGCAGTGGATGCACACCGGGACTGTATACAGCAAAGGATAAATCACACTTCGGAGCCTCTCCTCCTGGGGATCCCAAAGCGCCGCAGGCACTGACCCACTGGTTCGGTAGGCATGTGTCGGTGTGTACATAGGCGAGTGTCTGTGGGCTCTTGTGTATATAGGTGTGTACAGAGGTGCATGTGTGTGTCTATATGCATTTGTGTCTCTGTGCATCCACGCGTGCATATATGTTTGTGTGTGTGTGTGTATGTGTGCGCATGTGTATGGTCGTGTGTGTGCATATGGTTGTGTGTGTGTGTTACTGCTCACAGCACTTTGCAAAGGGAGCTTGCAGGCCGGATCTGCGTCTAATTGAATCCATTAAAGCAATTCCTCCAACCCTGCACCCGCTGTTCACTGGGAAGGAACTGCCAGGCCCTTGGCTGGAGGCTGGAATTGCCTGGCGTGGTGTGACAGTGCCAATGCCAATGCCAGGCAGCATGTGCCCAGCCTGACCCTCCAGCACAGCGGGGTGCTGGCAGCCACGTGCCAGTCCTTCTCCACAGGTGCACGCAGGGCTGGCTCCTCTGCTCGCGTCCCCTTCCTGAGAGCCGCAGGAGTCCCAGCCCTAGCGGGGCCGGCTGGCCCTGGCCTTACCTGTAGCCCCGCAGCACCCGTAGCTGCTCCCCGGGCACGTTGGTGCCCTTGACCAGCCGCAGCAGTTTAATCCCCGTGTGGGACACTGCCAGGATCTGTACCCCCGTGCCAACGCTGCCCTGGGGATAGAAGGACAAACCAATGAATATCAGCACCCACCCCGTGCAGCGATGAGCCCTCTTGGACTGGCACGGCAGCAGTGCTGGGCAGAGACTTTCCGCTGTGGAAATGCAGGGAACCAGCCTGATTCACCCCCAAGGAGCCCAGGAGCACTGACACTTCTGGCCCCTGGGATCTTCCTGGGGCCTGTCTCTAAATCCACAACGGCCTCAGGCCTGTGGACGATCTGACAGTCCCTGGTAGGAGGTTTGCATCCCCTGGCCAGCACAGAGCAGCAACTACGGGCAGCAGGGGCATCAGACCGTAGTACACCAGGGTCTGCTGCTGAGACCTGTCCCAGCCCCTAGACTATCCCCATGCTGGGCGTGGGGCAGGCCCTTACCGTGGCGGGGAAGAGGCGTGCGAAGTAAACCTCCCAGCCGTCCCGGGCTGCAATCACAATCTCCTTCTTAACGCTGTCATCGGCCACCGGGCTGAATGAGTCCAGCTTGTTTTCTGCTGTGGTGGGAAACACACCCCCCCCCCCGCCCCGGAGAGATGTCAGGTGCTGGCTCCCCCTCCCCGGCCAAAGCAGATCTTCTGCTGGGGCAAGGGAATCTGGGCACAGGGGTCCAGCTGGAGAACAAGGACTTCCCCGCGGGGGTATGAGCTCTGCTCCTTGCTGTGGTACGGCCCCAGCCAGCATGGGACAGACAACAGCTCCCTGTCGCTGCCAGGGACCCAACCTTCCCACGGGGGCTGGGAGACCCCTTAATGCCCAGGGCAGGCCAAGCACAAGCAGAACTTGTGACATTCGAGTCCCAGCTCAGACTAAACCCTGGCCCAAGAGGTGACGGGGGCCAAACCCGGCCTCACTGCACCCGAAGGCAAACCTCCCGTCGCCTTCCCGGAGGGCAGCTTTGCCCTACGCACTAGACATCCCCTGCCCCAAGGAAGAGCAGGGAAGTCAGGCTGGAGAGAGGAGGCCATCGCCCCCAGCGGTGGGGAGGCCAGCCCCTCGGCATGACGCAGGACTCAGTGGGCAGAGCTGGGCTGGGCGTTACCAAACAGGGATCTCATGCGCAGCCGCTCCTCCGGGGTGATCCTGAGGCAGGCGTCAGAGAGCGTGTCGTGGAAGATCTGAGGGGGGAACCCATCACGTTGAGGTTAGGAGCTTCAGGGCCGAGGCCTCCGTGTCCCTGATGCAGCCTCACTGACTCCTTCCTGTAAGCCCTATCCCACGCCCATTGGCTGCCACAGTGCAGGGGTCAGGAACACTGGCCCAGCCTCCCTGAAGCCTCTCAATCCTGCTGCTGAATGGGCTGCAAAGGGCAGAGTTTGCCTGAAACACACCACTCCCAGGTGTCAGTCCTGCTGGGAAAAGGTTCAGTGGGTCCTGAACCCACCTGCGTTTAACAGAGGTGGGAGTGGCTCTTTACAGAGGACCTAGGGTGTGGGCTGAGCTGTCCTCAGGGAGGAACCTTGGGAGCAACCCAGCCTAGGGACAAGGCATGGGCTGGATTGTACATTCCTTTTGTGAATAAGGCCAAGCCCTAGGCAAGGGAATAAGTAGTTCTGAGCCACTACAGCTTGCGTGGCCTGTGCGTGGAAGCTGCTGGCTCCCAGGGGTGTTGCTGAGTAAGGAGAGGCATTTCCTGCAGAGGGACAGGCTGGGAAACAGAAGTCACCTTGCACATCTATGGCTCTGGGTTCTTCCTACCCCAGGGTCTGGCTGAACCCATGATTCCCCAGCACACCTACACCCTGCCCAGACTTTGAGGGAATACAAGCAGACTGAGCTGACAATGCTCTGACTTTCTCAAGTGCTCCCTGCTGAGGATCTCAAGGCATTTTTCAAATGTTCTTTAGCCCTCGCAGCCCCCCTGTGGGGAACTATCCCTGCTGTACATATGGGGAGAGGGAGATCGGGAGAGGGGCTGGTTCGCTCAGGTTCACACGGCAAGTTTGTGACCTAGCCAGGAACGGAACCCAGGAGTCCTGATTCCCAGCCCTGGACTTTAAGCCGGAAACTATCCTTCCGCTCTTATAATACAGACAACTCTACAGCAGGAAAAGCTCTGGATCTGGAGTCTGGAACCTCACCTGTCTGAAAATGAGATCCAGCAACAAAGGGTTGTTGAAGTTATCCTTTGGATAGAACACCTGCAAGGAAAGAGATCAGAGGGGCATGGTCAGGTGCGGAAGGATCCATTAGTGAACGATTCCCTTAGTTTGTGTTACTAGCTGCTGAGATCAGTGAACCCGAAAGGATTTTCACTGCTTAGGCCCTTTATTTCATTCCTCCATTACACTCAAAGCAGGACAGGAACTCTGGGTGACATTTTCAAAGCACCTGCGTAACTTAGCACTTACGTCCCATTGAATCTGAAGTGCCTCGGCCACTTTGGAAAACAGGACTTAGGCTTTTAGGCACTTTTGAAAAGGTTACCCCAAGACTAGTCAATTTCACTTCTATTCACTTACCAGGGAACGCGTCAGTGAATACTGCAGTTAAAGATGGGAAGACGCACAAAACTCTTTCTGTTAATAACACGGGGGGCTGTGGATCTTTTTTATTTTAATAAAGAACTTAAATTTTAGGCCTAAAGTCCCTGACCACGTCCCTTTGAGGGAAAGTTTCACTGATTCACTACATCTGAGAGGCAGGAATGGGCCTGCCTGTGACGTGATATAGGTGGCCTCTAGTACAGTGGGGACCTGATCCCTGACTGGAACCTCTGGGAGTTACCACAATAACAAATCATTCATAAATCGTAATAATACCACTCATGTTAACGACACCCCCTCCCACAGAAGGCAGTGAGCTCTTCTGCTCTGGGGTCTCCTGCCATATCCCCAGTAACACCTCTCCACTTTCTTTCACTCAATATCGCAGCCTTGCAAGCTCCCCTCCCCTTCTAAAGAATCCCACGGAGGCTGGATCTGTTTGGAACATAAATTCCTAAGGAGAAAACGGACCCTGAAATGCACTTTCTCCTCCTAGGGGGCGCTTGCACTTTAACAACCACTAGATGGCACTGTTCCCTCACAGAAACAGACAAGGGGTAGTTTTTCAGGCCAGTTCTTTTGGGGCTCAGGGTCTGGCCTGGGCGCTGATTTCCCCTGGCCGGGTGGGTCTGGTGGGAGGAGGGGGGGGGGCTGTGTGGAGCTGTGCCCTAGGCAAGTACCTCTTTCCGGATGTATATCTTCCAGGACACGTTGCGGTAGGCGTAGAACTCCTCGCTGCAGCACCGGTGCAGCTGCGTCTGGACCTGCTCGCGCTCGGCCGGGAGCTCCCGGGAGACTGTGACTGAAAAGAGATAGGGGGCAGAATGCTCACAGGCAGCTGAGTGAGGTGTTAGTACCGTTATCCAAGGCACTGGTGAGACCTCATCTGGAATACTGTGTGCAGTTCTGGTCTCCCACGTTTAAGAAGGATGAATTCAAACTGGAACAGGTACAGAGAAGGGCTACTAGGATGATCCGAGGAATGGAAAACCTGTCTTCTGAAAGGAGACTCAAAGAGCTTGACTTCTTTAGCCTAACCAAAAGAAGGCTGAGGGAAGATCTGATTGCTCTCTATAAATATATCAGAGGGATAAATACCAGGGAGGGAGAAGAATTATTTAAGCTCAGTACTAATGTGGACACAAGAACAAATGGATATTAACTGGTCATCAGGAAGTTTAGACTTGAAATTAGACCAAGGTTTCTAACCATCAGAGGAGTGAAGTTCTGGAACAGCCTTTCAAGGGGAGCAGTGGGGGCAAAGACATATCTGTCTTCAAGACTAAGCTTGATAAATTTATGGAAGGGATGGTATGCTGGGATAAACTAATTCTGGCAATTAATTGATCTTTGACTATTAGCGGTAAATATGCCCAATGGCCTGTGATGGGATGTTAGATGGGGTGGGATCTGAGTTACTACAGAGAATTCTTTCCTGAGTGTTTGTCTGGTGAGTCTTGCCCACATGCTCAGGGTTTAGCTGATCGCCATATTTGGGGTCGGGAAGGAATTTTCCTCCAGGACAGATTGGCAGAGGCCCTGGGGGTTTTTCACCTTCCTCTGCAGCGTGGGGCACGGGTCACTTGCTGGAGGATTCTCTGCACCTTGAAGTCTTTAAACCACAAGTTGAGGACTTCAATAGCTCAGACATAGGTTAGGGGTTTGTTACAGGAGTGGGTGGGTGAGATACTGTGGCCTGCGTTGTGCAGGAGGTCAGACTAGAAGATCATAATGGTCCCTTCTGACCTTGAAGTCTATGAGTCTATGAGTTACTGTGGATGCAGGGGGCAGCCCATTAGCTGGCCCACAGCTATTTCCTACTGCACCAGGGCAAATCAGGCCTACGCTATCTAGCCAACCTACTTAACCTGCCTCCTACCCCGTAGCATCTGGGCACCTCGCAGCCTTCAGTGCATTTCTCCTCCCAACCTCCTGGCGGGCAGGGCAGTGCTATGGTCACTACAGGGGGAACGAAGGCACAGAAAGACTAAGTGATTTATCCAAGGTCCCTCACAGGAAGTCTGTAGCAGAACAGGAAACGGAACCTGGGTTTCCTGAGTTCTCGGCCAGTGCACTAACCACTGTACCAGCCTTCCACCAGGGGCTGGTATCAGTGCAGCTACATGTGTGGCAAAGCCTACAAGTTTCTGCCCCCATGGGATCTGGTAAGTATTGGTGCAGGGATACTGCCCAGCCTCTTCCTTCTCTCCTGTTCCACATTGTGCCCAGACTAACGCTCTCTTGGTTTATAGTGCTTCTTTTATCCTGAAGGATCTCAACGCACCTTACAAAGTTAAGATGATACACAAGGATCGGTTCACCCACCACTAAAATGCAGCCACCTCTGGGGTGGAAGGCGGCAGCTGTGTAAGAGCACATAGAAATACCACTCAGAATTCACCCACCACTGAAATACAGCCACCTCTGGAATGGAAGGCAGCAGGTGTGTAACAGCAACACTGCACAACTGTTTAATACTAGAAGTGATGGGGAAGGCCGTGTCCAACTGAAATTGCGGGGGGGGGGGGTAGTGAAGCAGGATGTCATTACTCAAGGGGGAATTTAATCTGGGCATCAGGGTTTTGCCCTTTGATCCCAGGCTCAACTCTTGCAGAAGATACCAGGGGATCTTTCATGGCCATAAACCATCAGGAGCTTGGCTAAACCCCTCTTCAGAAATGGTTTGATACTCTCTCATGGGGGGAGCTTTGCTTCCTGATCTCATCGGGGGATCGATCATATGCCCTGAAACATGAGGATCAAGAGCTCTGGTCACTTCATCCTGACTAGCCCTCACTGCTAGGGAAACCCAATCCTCTGAAAATATCCTGAGCCCCTCACCTCGCTGCTGAGCAGAGGCGCTCTGGGACAGAATGGCAACTGCTCGCTGCCCACCCGGATTCATGTCTTGGGCCTCCTGGCCCTGCAGATTTGCATTCACTAACTCCTGCAGGTTCCCTAACTTGGCGGCCGCAAAAGTCTATGGGTCGGATGACGTGTGAGGCCATGTACCGCTAGACTCCCTGACTCTCAGCCAAACTCTCTTACTAGGGACGTCTGCCCAGGTGTAACTGCCCGAAGGAGATCTCATGGGGTGCAAGTTACCCGTTCTTCTAGGCTCTCTGGGACGCCCCTTTGTCCTTGCTGCTCTCTGCTCCATCAGTTTCTCACCCCACGCCCATCACCGTGGTGTCTGATTGCCTCGCGTTTGTATAGCTACCGCCTCGTTTGCCTAACATGTCGCAGTTTATGGTGAGTTCTTTAATAGTCCAGGGACCCACAGGCCCACCCAGGAGCTCAGGATTCTCAGATACTTTTCCTAAACTTTTGCAAAATGCAAAATCGCATGAACAAATCAATGCAAAAAGGATCAACGTTTGGGGGCAGCACTGAGGGGGGTCGGAGGGTCCAAACAGGTCAGATTTGGAGCCATTCTGAAAGCCAGATGGCAGCGGTGTGAGACCTCTATAGGGCTAAGTTCTCTACTGGGCTACCTCTGTACACTGGGGTATGGCCTCTCCGGCAGTGCTGCTAGGGCGCTGTATAGGATGGTCTCTGCTGAATCAGCGGCATCTCAGCCTTTGGACAGGCCAGGCTAAGCTTCCTCGGCCCTCCAGTAACAAAGGGCTTTCCCATCACCTTCCAGCTGGGTCCTGGCAATGCGCTGCCGGCTGGGGGAAGCCACCTGCCCAGCCCTCTCCTTCAGAACCTGGCAGGACAGCGTGAGGCTCTGGCATCCAGCCCTGAACCCCAGAGGAGATGAAGCTGCGCTGCCTCTCGTGCTGTTACCTGGAGGCGACCTTGGAGAAGATCTGGCCGTGGCAGCCGGTGAGGGAACGGCGGCTGGTGATGGCGGCGAAGGCCTCTTGGTGCTGGTAACAGGCTTCACCGTGGCTCTTGCTTCCTTGGCCACCTACAACACAGAGGTGGAGACCAACTTCCTGTGAGGCCATTTCCCCGGGCTGGGGGGCTGTCCCTCATCACACCCATGGGCAGGAGCGGGGGACACTCACTGGCCCGGGCGGTGCCCTGCCAGCTAGCACTGGGGTTCAGCCCAGGCAGTGGCCAGCCTGGGGATCAAGCTCTCCTTGGGAGCCCTGACTCTGATCCCCAGCTGGTGGGGACTCTGAATGCTCGACGGCAGAGCAGCACCCCCGTGCCCCTGCATTCGCCAGGCAAGCAGCTGGACCTCCCCGTCCACAACCCGCAGCGCCCCAGGTTATCGACAGGGAGAACGGCCGCCTGTGCCTTCCGATCAGCGCTTTCGTACCGGAGCGGCTGTTGGGGGGCCCGGCGCCACTGACATCTGCCCCTTTAAGATCATCATGGCCTCCTCATGGGGATCCATCTTCTTCACAAAGACCTTCCCACCTTCCTTCCTGCAGGGACAAACAGCCAGGGGCCAGAGCAGGGTCAGTGAGCAGCCTCTGGCCTGTGTGTGTGTGTGTAGAGATATGCACGAGACCCCGTCCCCTGAGCTAAAGGGGTTGCCCCTTGAGCCAGCAACAGACTGTTACAGTTGCTGGGACTCTGTCGCTGCAGGGAGATCACAGCCTCCCAGCCGGTGCATCATCCAGGGAGCCCAACCAGCCCTGCTGCTGCTAATGCATGGCTGGGAAATGCAACCCAGCTGCTGTCCCTGCAGCTTTAAGGGTGTGAGCTCCACTCCAGCCCAGCATCAGACTCTCATGTCCACAGGGGCTCGGGCAGGAGATCCGAGTTCTGGCAGCGCAGGGTCTCACCTGATGGGCTCGGGGAGCCTGGCGGGCCGCTGGCACTGCTTAATGATGTTCTTAATGTGCTGTGTGGGCTCGGGGAAGTGCTGCGAACTCAGCTTGGCCGGCCGCACCAGCTCGCCGGCCCGCAGCCTGGAGGCAGGAGCTGTCGTGGAGGGAGGAAGCAAGCGGGAGGCTGGGTTGAGAATCTCAAGGAGGGGGGGTAGGCTCCAGCACTGAAATCCGACCCCCCAGCCCCCTCGAAGGTGGGGAAAGGCTCCTGCTCTGGTTTGCAAGGCTCAGGCTACAATTGTGACTTCTGTCCAGCACCATGCACGAGCCCAGTGCCCCCTGGGCCACTCTCCCTGCTGGGCTTCTATCTCCACTTTTTCAAGAATCTTCCACCACCCTGGCCTAGGCTCTGGGACACGCCCTGCAGAGCAGGCACAGGTGTCTGCGCAGCTCTTTGCTCCCGTCAAGTGTTTGTCACGTGCTGGGGGTGAGCTTGGGGCTCCAGCCAGAGACTGTGCCAGCTCCTGTCACACCTCACGCTTTCCCCAGGCCTGCAGCCCCACCCCCAGCTCTGTCAATGCTTCCCAGGTCTGACCTGCCGTTCCCACCCCCAGCTAGTCCCAACTTCCTTCCCTTCTCCGCCCCGAAACCTTAGCTGGAGCACCTGTACCTGTCCTGGGCTCCCCCCACCCGCTCTGCTGACGCCCCTCATTCCCCACCCACAGCCCTCCTGCACTCCCAGTCCTATGGCGGGTCATTTTCAAATAATAGCAGCAAACCACACCAATGGGAACTAGACCCAAAGCCAGGCTCCCCTCAGTGCTAAGCCAGGATTTGAACCCAGGTCTCCAAAAGCAAGTGCTGCCACATTGGCCCACGGCACCACTATGCACCTGGGCGTGGCATCAGCATCCCCTGACAGCCGCAAGCTGGGGCTGGAAAGGGTTAGAAAGCTGCTCTCGGACGGTGTCCCTGCGGGGGTGGAGGGGTGAGACAGGTTTCTCCAGGGGAGGCTGTATTTGTGGCTGATCCCTTACCGGCTTTCTGTAAGAAGGCCATCGTCCTGGCTGGTGTCCCACTCACAGCTGTCCTCTGGCCAGGGGGAAGGAGAAGGAGAAGGAGTGGGTTACGTCAGCAGGCGTTAACGGGACAGGTTTCTGAAGCACCGCTCTAGGAATTATTTGAGGGAAGTGCTGTGCTAGGCAGCAGGCCAGACTATGTGATTCCTTCTGGCTTTAGCAGCCATGAAAACTGCCTCGGCGAGGGGTGGCCATGATGTGGCAGGGCTGCCCAGCTGCTACGGTGGCTTCTGTATCAATAGGGTCTTTCACCCCAAAGGATTCCAGAGCACTTTAAAAAGTGTACAGGGATCACTTCACACCCCTGCTCCCGAAATGCAGCTGCTTCTGGGGTGGGAGGGTGCCAAGCAGCCCAGTGCGCTGTAGAACAAGCGTGGAGGCAGAAAGGCAATTCTGGCCCAGGTTAGATGGTAAATGCCTTGTCTTTCCTTGTCTGCCCTGGGGTCTTTAACGTCCTCCCAGAGAAATGAGGGGTGGGGGGAAGAGGGCGGTTAAGGCTCCATCGTAACGTTTCCACCATAGAAAGCTGCCTGGAGCTGAGTCATTATTACTAGCGTGAGCAGGTGGAATCTGGGCACCCCCCAGGATCCAAGACCTCCGGGAGACAGCACACACTGGAGCCTTTCCCAGCGCGCAGCCCCACCACCCAACAGCGGGGGGCAGGAAACGAAACGGAGCCCCTTCAGCTGAGAGCGCAGAGCGGAGCTCAGGGAGCCCACAGGCTGTGACCCCTCGAGGGGCTTGAATTGTCACCACAGGTCAGGACCTCGCTTTTCTCTCCCCAAGCTGGGGCCTTAGGGTCAGTGCTGATTCCAAAGGGAGAGTGACCCCCACGGCCACGCTGGGGCACTGGGACCAGCACCAACACCTGCTCCCTGTGACACAGGGTCCCCTAGCACCGCACTGGGCCCAGCACCGACTCCCCGAG